ACCCCTGCTCCCCCTGAGCCTGTGCTCCCCCTGAGCCTGTGCCCCCCCTGACCCCTGCTCCCCCTGAGCCTGTGCTCCCCCTGAGCCTGTGCCCCCCCTGACCCCTGCTCCCCCTGAGCCTGTGCTCCCCCTGAGCCTGTGCCCCCCCTGACCCCTGCTCCCCCTGAGCCTGTGCTCCCCCTGAGCCTGTGCCCCCCCTGACCCCTGCTCCCCCTGAGCCTGTGCTCCCCCTGAGCCTGTGCCCCCCCTGACCCCTGCTCCCCCTGAGCCTGTGCTCCCCCTGAGCCTGTGCCCCCCCTGACCCCTGCTCCCCCTGAGCCTGTGCTCCCCCTGAGCCTGTGCCCCCCCTGACCCCTGCTCCCCCTGAGCCTGTGCTCCCCACGCACCCATCCCAGCAGCACTCCTGCCAGGCCCTGACAGCTCCCTAAAGCTGCTGCACTATTTTTACCCCACGGTTGCTATAGAGACATCCGAGCCGCTCCCCGTGATGATGCAGCTGCTTTTGGGTGATGCAGTCTCTTCCAGAAGCACTGCATCACCCACTGCATCATCACCCACTGCATCACCCACTGCATCACCACCTGCATCACCCACTGCATCACCTGTTGCATCATCGCCCACTGCATCACCTGCTGCATCACCACCTGCATCATCACCCACTGCATCACCCACCCCAGGTCCCCTGGAACACCCCCTCTGGCCCCAGAGGTGTGTGCCAGACCCCCGTGCTGTGCCACAGGCTGTGGGGTCACACAGACACCTGCTCCACCCCTCGTTCTGCTGCCCCGGGCTGGGCAAGGTCCCACCACAGCCAGCTCAACTGTCCGGCCAAAGCCAGGGACCAGAGGGGACAAGGAGCAGCAGTGTGTGGCACTGCACGGCCACAGGAGGTGGCAGGGCTGTCCCTGACTAATGGACTTTAGCTGGTTGGTCTCCAGCACACCCGTTTTTCCAGCAGGAGAAATCAGGGTCCCGATTAAAGCAGGTACAGGAGCCTGGGTCATGTTTGAAGGGAAAGCAAGGTGCTGTGGGCATGGTTGGACTCTCTGCTCCATGAAACCCCAGGAGGGGCGAGGCTGGGCTGGGACCCCCTGTGCCCAGCGTGTCCCACAGGGGGGGACCCGGGCTGTGCCCCAGGCAGCAGGAGCAGCAGAGCCGGGGTCCCCCCGGGAGGCTGAGCTCCCCCAGGGCTGTGCTCAGCCCCAGGGAGCATGGCTGTGAGCAGGGAACAGCAGGGATGAGCTGGCAGGAACCACTCACACTCACCCAGCCCTCGGCACAGCACCCAAAGCAGAACCCGCAGCAGCAGCAGCCTCCGGGGCCACGGGGCTGCTCCAGCCCAGGGCGAGGCTGCCCTGGCACCACCTGTGCCTGAGCCCGGAGCCCCGAGGTGCCAGCAGAGCGTACAAGTCCATCCCCAGATGGAGACAAGGTCCTTCCCCAGCTCTGCTCAGCCAGGGGCTGCAGCTCCTGCAGGGATGAGGAGAACATGGAGCCGACAGCCCCTGGCCATCCTGTCCCTGCTCCCACAGTCTCATCCCTCAGGGCAGCACTGCAGCCCCTCGAATGCCCCAGGAACCACAGCTGCACCCCACGGAGAGCAGACAGCCCCGTCACAGCCCCAGAGAGCAGCTCCCCCTTCTCCAGGCAGGGCCAGACCCCAGCCATAACCCCAGCAGGCTCTAATGAAGGGGTGGCAGTCCCTGGCTGCTCATCCAGGTGGGCAGTGCTGGGATGGCCCCACAAAGCACCTCTGCTGCTCTTGGCAGTGACACAGCTCTGTCACCTCCGCCCCTCTCTGTCCTGCCAGCAGAAAGAAGCCCCCTGCCCAGGTGAGGCTGCTGGGTGCCAGTGCCACCCATGCCACAGGGGACTGGCATCACTGCAGCGCTCCCAGGCCCTGCCAGCCCTCCACACCCTGCCAGGGCTGCTCCGTGTGGGCAGAGCCCCCCGTGGTGGCTCCCAGCCACCTCAAAGGCACCTCATCCCAAACCAGTCATGTCTGCAGCCCATCCTGCTGCCCAAGGCTGCACGGGCACTGCTGAGATCACAGCCGTGGCTCAGAGCCCTGCACAGAGCTGCAGCTCCTCCAGCAGCCATCCCTGCAGCCCCGTTGCCATGGCATCCTCAGGGACGGCAGAGATACTGGTGAGGAAGACAAGGAGGATGAAGATAGGTGGGCACACTGGCTGGGGCAGATTTGAGGCCCTCTGGCAGCGGGCAGGGGCTATCCCTGCTCCCCTCCCAGGACTGGCATACCGGAGCTGGCATCGCCACGCTCCCCTCCCTGCTGGGGCATCTCCCACCCCCTGAACACCTGGAAGCTGGTAAGGCTGGGCTGAGCAAGCAGGAAAGGGAATTCTAGGGTTTTAACATCTTCAGGGATAGGCCATTACAGCTTTCCAGCCAGCAGCAGCCAGCCTGGGGTCCAGCACAGGGCTGAGAACTCACAGCAGCAGCAAGGGGGCCAGAGCACCAAGGGGCTGCTGTGGGGGAGGAGGCTCCCCAAGCCTTGCTTCCAGCGTTCTCCTAATTGCAATCATCAGGCACCCAGGACCTTCCTTTTTTCCCCACAAGCACCTCCTCCCTCCTTGTCACCATCCCTGACCCGTCTGGGGTGCCCTGGGAGCAGAGCAGACCCCCTCAGCTGGGGGATGTGGGGGCTTGCCCTGGGCAGCCTGGGCTTCTCCTGCCACCACAGCTTGTCTCTTCTAAATGTGTGAGTTTCAGGAGTTTATTTTTAAGATGTTTATTTTGTCAAGGTCTTTATATTATGTTGGTGTTAGGAGTTAACGTGTTTATTTTTTACAAGTAAACTGGTGTGCTCATGCATCAGAAAATGGACAGATAAACACATTTTTAGGGGGTTTATGGCCAGTTTAGGCAGGTACTGCAGAGTGTCTGTGTTACCAAGTCAGGAGGAACCTGCCATAAGATTTGCCAAATGCTCCCTAACATAGTAAGACTGACTTAATTTCTCTGCTGACTCTGATTCTCATTGTCATCATCTCTGAATGAAGAGCGCTGCAATATTAGATTATATTTTATTAATCACAAGAGAAATTCCCCAAATGTTAACGTGATACGGGGGGTGTGGTGACAAACACCCTCAGAGCTGCGATGGTCTGCAGAAGTGCAGGACCCTGGGGGTCAGGGTGGTGGTCGGGGGCATCTGTGACCATTTCCCTCTTCCTCTGAGCTCCCTCTCTGCAGGGACTGCTCCGAAAGAGACACGGAGGAAGGTGGAGGAAGCTGCTGGGAAGCAGGCTCTTGCCCAGCTGTGAGAGCTGGGGACGAAGGAGGGCCGGCACACTGCTGCACATCGCCCTGGCGCCGAGGGCAGCGCTGCCCGGGGAGCAGACAGCGGGACCCAGCTCGCCCTGCAGGGCACGGAGCCCTCCTGTGCCCCAGGGTGCCCTCGGGCTCTCCCGGGTGTGCGCCCGAGCCGCGGAGTCCTTAACATCACAGGGGGCTTGGGGGCCGCAATTCCCCCTGCTCCAGGTGGGGAGAGCTGCGGGCTCAGAGCTATTCGGGGTCTGGGGGGCCCCAGGAGCAGGGTGGGGCACGCACAGACACCCCCACGGGTGGGCACAGATGGACAGAGACCTCTCAGCCCCCTGCAGCCCCCCGCACAGGGACAGAGAGCCTACAGACTCCCGCACAGGGACAGGGACCCTACAGACCCCCGCACAGGGACAGGGACCCTACAGACCCCCGCACAGGGACAGGGACCCTACAGACCCCCGCACAGGGACAGGGACCCTACAGACCCCCGCACAGGGACAGGGACCCTACCCCCGCAACCCCGAGCACACAGATACAGACACTGCAGACCCCCGCACACAGACCCCACAGACCCCGCAGCGCCCAGCACACGGACACAGACCCCACAGACCCTGCAGCCCCCTGCACACAGACACAGACCCTACAGACCCCGCAGCCCCCAGCACACGGACACCCCCGCCCGCCGCTCCCCGCACCCACCTGCGGGCGGACGCGCCGCCCCCCCGCGCCCTCCTCCTCGCTCAGCGCCGGGCACCGGCACCGGCACAGACACCGGCACCGGCACAGACACCGGCACCCAACACTCGGCACCGGCACCAGCCCCGGCACAGGGCACGGGGCAGCGGAACCAGCACCGGAGAGCGGCACCGGCCACAGCCACGGGCACCGGCAGCAGGTACCGGGTGGGGTAGCGCACCCCACCATCCCCAGCGCAGCCGGGGCGGCGGCAGCGGAAGCGGGATGGCCGCGGCTTGGAGGGGCGCGGGGGACACCGGTCCCGGCGGGAGTGGGGGAGAGCCGCCGCCCGGGTCTCCCTCCCTCGGGTCCGGGGGGTCCCGCGGGAAGGGGCCGCGGGCAGCTCCCGGGCAGGGAGGGTACCGTGGGCGCCTTTGGGGGGAGCTGGGAGCAGTGAGAGCACTGACCGCCGGTCCAGGGGCCGCAGCATCCCCATGGAGGGCACGGAGGGGTGGGGAAGGGCCGGGAGGCTTGTGCCCTCTCCAGGGGCACTCTGGGGGCACCGGCTGCTCAGGGCTCTGGGAACATTCTGAGGAGTGAGACGGGGAGCGGGGGGCAGCAGGAGTGGGTGGCAGCGCGGGCCAGTGGGGGGTAGGAGCAGGGGGCGGTAGAAACACAATAGGCAGCATGACTGTGGCTGCTTGTGCTTCCCCCCGGCAGTGAGGAGGCAGAGATCCCGGCTCCAGCCCAGGAAGCCATCAGGGAAGTTCACACAGTCTCCAGCGGGCTTGGTGCTGTGGCCCCCCAGACACAGCAGGCCGGTGGAGACCACCAGAAGCTCTCTGGCCTCCTGGGGTAACCACGGCATCGGGGCAGCTGTCTGCACAGGGTGGGAGGGCACAGCCACAGGGACAGTGGGACGTGGGGCAGTGCCCGGAGCTTGGCATCCCAGGACGGCAGGCACGAAGCAGCCGGGCTCACCTCTTCTCCGCCGTTCCCCCACAGGCAGCAGCGCCACCACCCAGCGGGAAGCAGCAGCCATGGATGAAGTGACGGAGCTGGAGCTGGGGGGCAACTCCCTCCTGAAGGCCGTGTGGCTCGGCCGGCTGCGGCTGACGCGGCTGCTGCTGGAAGGGGGGGCTTACATCAACGAGAGCAACGAGAAGGGGGAGACTGCGCTGATGGTGGCCTGCATCACCACGCACGTCGACCAGCAGAGCATCCACAAGGCCAAGATGGTGAAGTACCTGCTGGACAACAGAGCCGACCCCAACATCCAGGACAAGTCTGGGAAGACCGCCCTCATGCACGCCTGTATCCGGGGGGCTGGGGGCGACGTGGTGTCCCTGCTGCTGGAGAGTGGGGCAGACCCCAGCCTGGAGGACCACTCAGGAGCCTCAGCGCTGGTCCACGCCATCAACGCCGAGGACAAGGCTGTGCTGCAGCGCCTCCTGAATGCCTGCAGAGCCAAGGGGAAGGAGGTGATCATCATCACCATGGACACATCAGCCTCTGGCGCCAAGACCGCCAAGCAGTACCTGAACGTTGCCCCTGCGCTGGAGTTCAAGGAGAAGGCTCCCCTCGAGGAGAGCACAGCCCCCTCCAGTGCCCACCTGAAAACTCCCATCTCAGCACCTTCCCCTGCCGAGAAGGAGAGCAGCATTCTCACCCCACAGCCTTCCCACACGGGGGAAGCTGAGCCACCCTCCCCGGGCCGCAGAGCTGGCACGGCCCGGAGAGCCCACCTGCCCCGCCTGAAGCGACTGCGCTCGGAGCCCTGGGGGCTGGTGGCACCCTCGGTGCTGGCCGCCTCTAGTCACCGCGACGACACGCGGCTCTGCGCTGACACTGAGGTCATCACGGGCATCGGCGACCTCTCGCTCTCCAAAAAGCCCTCCCTCACCCGCAGCAGCAGCAGCAGCAAGGGAAGGGACCCCTCTCTCTTCCCCCCAGTGGATGAGCAGGCACTGGGGCCGCTGGCATGGAAAGGCACCCACGAGAAGAGCCCAGGCACCCACCCGTGCCTGTCCCGGAGCACCGCGGTGCCGGAGGAGCCGGAGAGCGCCGGCTCGGCCGCGGGGATGGACACCCCACACCGGTGGAGGGCAGGCACGGAACACAACGGGGACCCGCAGCTGAGCGAGGCGGGGAAGGGGCCGCCCGAGAGGCGGAGGCTGAGCGGCTCGCAGCTGGCCTTGCTGGAGGGCTGCTGTGACTCTCCGTCCGGCAGCGCCAGCGCCTCGCCCAGCACCGCCCGGCGCCGGCCGCCCGGCGTGCTGGAGAGGCGAGGATCCGGGACCCTGCTGCTGGACCACATCTCCCACACGAGGCCAGGATATCTGCCCCCGCTGAATGTGAACCCCAACCCCCCGATTCCTGACATTGGCTCCGGCAAAGCCGCCTCCCCGCTGGCTGCTGGGCTGAAGACGCTGGTGCCCCTCACACCCAGCTCGCCCCGGCGGGGTGACCGGAGAGCCCACAGGAAGCTCCTCCGCAGACATTCCATGCAGGCAGAGCAGATGCGGCACCTCTCCGATTTTGAGGAGGTCGTGGCGCAGTAGCCGTGCCGCCCTTTGCTCACAGGGAGTGGCCAAAGCTGCGCTGTCCCCGCAGAGACGAGACGGTGCCCACAGAGTGGGCACTGGCTCTGGGGACACGCTGGTGGCCAGGGGGCTCGGCCCTGAGCCCAGGGGCTGATTCGGGAGCGGGCTGATCGGCAGATCGATCCCCCGCCGTCCTCGATCGCCAAGCCTCGTGCCAAGGATCCCACCTTGCAGTTCACTTATTCCCAGTTGCAATCCGCTTTCCTTACATCCTGCTCGTTCTCGCACCGAATCCCGGCCCGGAGCCCCCGCTGGTGATCTCTGGGGCCGAGGCGTTCATGGAGTGCCTTCCAGGAGGGGAAGGGGCTCGAGGAGCGGAACCCATCCAGCCACGGACCGTGCCGGTGCTCTCCGGGAGCGGGAGAGGGAGACAATGCTCCACTCCGCGATTCCCGAGCGCGCCGGAGCTCCGGCGGCTGAGCTCGCCCGGCACCGCTGCAGCCGCGCCGGCTGTGGGCCGGGATGGGCTTGCCTCGACTCTGAAGCGTCTGAACTTCAGGGGGCTCACTCCCGCCGCGCCTGAATTCAGGAAGCGCTGAACCCCCGAGCAGGATGGTGCCAGCCCGGCTGCGGGGGGAACCCGGGGTGCCAGCTCACCGCGGGTGACACGGGCTGACCCCAGGGCTCCGTCCCCCCGGGAAAGCCGCAGGCAGGGCGCTACAGCCAAGACCCCGCGGGCCCCCCAGCCCCGCGCATCCCCCCCGCACGCTGTGCCGCGGGCCGGCCGTGTGCCGTGGCTGCCGCAGATTCCATCGCTCCATGACTGCGTGTATTCACGAGACTGCGTGCGTGGGGACAGGCGTCGGGGTGACGCCGTGGCCCTGCCGAGACTTCTGCACTCGTTTTGCACTGCATTAATAAAGCGCTCAGCTCTGGACGGAGGCCGATCTCGTGTGCAGCCGACTCCAGGCGCCCGGCCGCGGGTCCCGGGAGTGCCCAGGGGATCGCCGGGGCTGCCGGAGCGCCCCGAGATGCCGGGGGTTCCCAGGGTGCCGGGGTCGGTGGAACGTGCCCGGGATGCCCGCGGGTGTCCGCCCCGGGGCCGGAGGTGCCGCCCGCGCCCCGCCCCGCTCCGCTCGCGGAGGAAACGCCACGTCAGGGGGGCGGTGCGGGGGCGGTGCGGGGCCGACGGGCTGGGCTCGGTGCGGGGCCGGTGGCGGTGCGGAGCCGGTGCCGGTGCGGGTCGCGATGCCGGGCGCGGTGCGGACGCTGTGCCTGGCCGCGCTGCTGGGCGCGCTGGGGGCCGGCGGCACGGAGCTGACCCTGGAGCTGCCCGACAGCGCCCAGCGCTGCTTCCACCAGGAGCTGGAGAGCGGCGTCAAGTTCACCCTCGACTATCAGGTACCACCCTGCCTGTACCTGCCTGTACCTTCCTGCAGCCCTGCGTGCTCCGTGCCTGCGCCCCCTCCCCAAACCCCTGCCAGGGCCCCCTCCACCCGGGCCCTGTTTGTGCCCCATCCCTGTGCCCCTGCCCGTGTGCCTGCCTGTGCCCCAGTGCCCCTGCCCCCTTGCCCACAGCCCTGCCCATGTGTGTGCTATTGCCTCTGCCCATGCCACCTGCCCGTGCCTCTCCCACACTCCCATCCTGTGCCCGGCAGAGCCTCAGGCAGGGCTCCAGTTCCAGCCCAGCTCCCTCCATGCTGCACTAGGAGTTGTTCCCAACCCCAGCCCCATTCCCGGCAGGGCCTGAGAGCCAGGCCTGGGATGTGCCCACATCAGCCATGGACGCCCCTGACCTGGGTCATGGGTGCTGTCCCTGTCTCCAGGCACCCCACCTGAGCCATGGGCACCCAGCTGAGTTGCCAGCACTGTGGCACACAACTTCCCCAGGGCTCCCCTGGCCTGGGCCCCATCCCATGGGCATGGTGCCCGCTGGCCTCTCACACACACAGCTGTGGGGCTGGGCAGGGGGCCCTTGCCACGTCGCTTGGCGTGTGCCACCATCGGAGATGTGTCTCCCTGCACAGGTGATCAGCGGAGGACACTATGATGTGGACTGCTACGTGGAGGACCCCAACGGCAAGACCATCTACCAGGAGACCAAGAAGCAGTACGACAGCTTCTCGCACCACACCGAGCTCAAGGGTGTCTACACCTTCTGCTTCAGCAATGAGTTCTCCACCTTCTCCCACAAAATTGTCTACTTCGACTTCCAGGTGGGCGACGAGCCGCCCATCCTGCCCGACATGAACAACCGCGTCACTGCCCTGACACAGGTGGGTCCTGGGAGGGAGGAAGGGAGGAAGGGAGGAAGGGAGGATGGGTCCTGTCGCAGCCCCCAAACAGCCTTGTGGGATGGCAGTTGGAGACTTGTCCCCCTCCTCCTCCACTGGATGCAGAAGTGCCAACCGCCAGCCAACAGCCCCACCACACACCACATCCTCTGCCTGGCTCACGGGGCTGTGCTGGCTCTGGGCTCCCCTCTCTGCAGCAGCTCCTGTCTATCCCCGTGAGGGAATTGCATCAGCCATTCCATTCCTTGGTGTGAGCTCTGGGCTGGGCATCCGGGTGCCCTCGTGGGCCTCTCAGTGGGGAATGACCCTGCATGGGTTCTGGCAGGGAACCTATTACACAAACACTGCTCTTGAGTGCTGCTCTTGACTGCCCTGGCACAGCCCCCTCAGCTGAGCCATGTCAGAAGCGACAGGGGGCTCCTGTCCTTGTCCCCCAGCTGGAATCCGCCTGTGTCACCATCCACGAGATGCTGAAGGCGGTGATCGACTCGCAGACCCACTACCGGCTGCGGGAGGCGCAGGACCGCAGCCGGGCCGAGGAGCTCAATGGACGCGTCTCCTACTGGTCAGTGGGGGAAACCCTCATCCTCTTCGTGGTCAGCATTGGCCAGGTGATGCTGCTCAAGAGCTTCTTCACTGAGAAGAGACCCAGCAGCAGTGGAGCTGGCACCTAGAGCTGCTGTGTCTGTGCCTGAGTGGAGCAGGCAGTGGGACAGCCCTGGGGCTGCTCTGTGCCTCCGATCTGTGCCGTGGGCAGGCGGGGGGTGGGAGCAGGGGGTGACACTGCTGAGCTGGGTGACACAGCCACCCAAGCACAGGCGTCCCCCGGCATCACCTCCCACTTGCCATGGCCCGGCCTACCCTGTCCCCTCGCCTGGGCACCCTGTCCCCACTCTCTGGCTGCACTGGGAAGCTGGTGGGAGCAGCACCAGCACGGCACTGGGGCACCCTCGTGACTGGGACGTGACCACACGCTGCCCCTGAAGCCCTGTGCAGCCACCGAGGGCAGGGGCAGCCCACCCGGCACCCACCCAGTGCCCTCAGCCCCAGGAGAGCTGCCCGTGGGCTGGGGGTCTCTGTCTGCACCCCAGCTGTCCTGTGGCGGGCAGGGTGCTCCCAGCAGCGGGGCCACAGCAACAGCAGCATCCAACGAGGGAAGGCTTTTTGCTGGGTGGTGCTCTGGCTCTGCCAGCTCCTCCCCTCGCAGCAATTCTCAGGCTGGCAGCAGGTGGTGTGCCCGTACCAGGTGGCATTTTCATACTCACACGAGTCCTTGCCTGAGAGTCAGCCCCCTCACACATTCCCCCCACCCTGTGGACACGCTCCAAGGAAGCCCCATCCCTGCCCCAGACGCACGGAGGACTCACACACACCTGGGACTGCAGCCCCTCATTCCCTGGAGCCCCACAAGACCCCTGGAGTGACTGGTGTGCTGGCCCTCCAGCCCTCAAGCAGGTGTGAGACCATTTTTCAGAGCTGAAGCAACTCCGCTAGACTTTTCCTTTGCCACTTTCAAATAAATCCCTGCAAGCATGGCTGGCACTGCCGTTATTGGGCACAGCTTCTGCTGCCCTCCTGCCTTGCCCCCTGCCCACACCAGCTGAGCTTGCTCCTGGCGCAGGAGCAGAGGCTGGAGCCAGAGCCCCCTCAGCAGGAGCACAGCCCTGTCTGTGCCCAGTGTGAGGCTGCACTCTCAGGGGCTGGCATGGGGTTCCCACTGCGCAGTGGGAGCCCCCGGGCAGACCCCAGCTCTGGGGTCCCTTCCCTGAGGCTGGGGGCATGCCAGGGCAGTTCTCCTGACTCTGGCAGTGCTGCTGGTGCTGGGGGCAGTGAGGGGCCCAGGCAGCCTCAGCCCTCGCCCACCTCTGCGGGCCCCGGCAGCCGTGCTGGCTCTGCCGGCAGCGCTGGCCTTGGGGCAGCATTGCAGGTGGGAGAGCTGGCCCTGAGTGCCTCCCAACAGCCTTGGGCCCGAGCCAGGAGCTCCTGTTTGGAGCACAGCCCACAGCAGCAGCACCCCGGGACTGCCACCAGTCCTGGCAGGGACCAGCCCTGCGCCCGCTGTGGGGATGAACAGGGAGGGAAGCACCCAGCCCTGGCCAGGCCGGGATGGTCTGGAATCTTCCCCTGCCTGGGGACCCTTGAGCCACCCACGGTGGGGACAGGGGCAGCTGTGACCCCCGTGGGTCAGGGTGCTGGCTCTGGGGACACCAGCTCAGCTCCCAGCTGGGGGACACGGGAGGGACAAGAGATGGCCATTGGACACTTTATTGCTGTTCAGGGCACAGAGAAGGGAGAGGGGAGGGGGGCACCCCCACCAGCCCCCAGCCCGCAGAGGCACTTTGGGGTGCAGGGAGAGCAGCAGTGACCCCATCCCCATGGACCTCTGCTAACCTGGTCATCCTGCTGCCAGCCCCCCCTGCCCTGAGCACCCAGCTGGTGTCACAGGGAGCTGCTGTGACAGGAGGGGTCCCTGGCAGCCCCTCGGGACCTGCGCAGCCCCTGGGCTCCCCGCTGGGGCGGCAGGGAGGAGGCTGAGCAGCGGAAGGAGCCCGTGGCTGGGGAGGGGGGCTGGGCCAGGGGGCCGTGCCTGCAAGGGCACCCCCAGCCCCCCCGGAGGGGGATGGTGAAGAGCCCGTAGGTGATGGGGTCCAGGCACGCGTTGAACAGGCCAAAGATGAAGAGAATGTGGGTGAGGGCCGGCGAGATCCTCTTCTCCATGGCACGGGGGCAGAACCAGTGCCAGAGCCCCAGCAGGTAGTAGGGGGTCCAGCAGAGGATGAAGGAGGAGACGATGACCAGGCTCATCCGCAGCATCCGCAGCCGGGCCCGCGGGATGTTGTTCCTGGAGCACCGCAGCGACGCGTCCTGCGAGGAGACTGGAGGGGAAACGGGGCTGGGACAGGGATCCCGTGCCCCGGGGGAAGGCTGGGGGGTCCCTACAGAGCTCCAGACAGGACTCGCCCTGGGCAGGGGCTGCGTCCCGTGGGCACTCACAGAGGCCCGAGCCCATGCGGCGGGAGATCTCCAGCAGGATGCGGGCGTAGCAGCAGACCATGATGAGCAGAGGCAGCAGGAAGAGGCAGGCAAAGCCCACCATGTTGTAGAGGGTCTCGTGCCAGGCCCGGGGGAAGCTGCCGCGCGTGGTGCACTGGGTGAAGTTGTGCGGGGGGCTCAGGGTGATGGTGTGGAACACGAACAGCTGCAGACAAGAGAGGTGGGATGGGGGTGATGGGGGTTTGCGCCTCCCGAGCCAGGGAGGGCACTGGAGGCCAAAGCAGGGACCCCCAGGGACAGAGCCAGCCTGGGGGGTGGGTTACCCCCCTGCAGTGGCTCTGCTCTGTACCGAAAGGGGCCTGGGGCAGCCCCGGCAGTGGGCAGAGCTGGGCGAGGGGGGTCACTGCCACCGCCACTCTGCTGCCAGCTCTCCGTGCCCACCCTGCGGGTCACACCGGCCCTGCCCGCGAGCCAGTCTCCGGCTGGGTGGGGGTCTGTCACCAGAGGGGCCCGGCTGGTACCTGTGGCACGGCCAGCCCCGCGCTGAGCAGCCAGGCCGCATGCAGCATGGCGCGGTTGCGGGCGCGGGCGCGGGCGATGGCCAGCGGGCGCAGGATGGCGGCCTGCCGGTCCAGGCTGATGACCACGGTGACGAAGGCCGAGGCGTACATGGCCAGCAGGCGCAGGTACATGAGCAGGCGGCAGGCCAGGTCGCCCGCCCGCCACTGCAGCGTGATGTTCCAGACGGCGTCCAGCGGCATCACCACCACGGTGAGCAGCAGGTCGGCGGCGGCCAGGTGCCGCAGCAGCAGGCGGATGTGGGGGCGCCGGCCGCCGCCCCGGCCCCCCACCGCCCGCAGCACCGCCAGGTTGCAGCCGGCCGAGAGGGCGAACAGGGCGAAGGTGACGGCCACGCGCACCTGGGCGGCCGGGGAGAAGGTGGGCAGCCGCAGGGGCTCCTCGGGGGGGCTCCAGGCGCAGCCCCACTCGGGGGGGGTCGTGCCGGGGGGCTCCGCGCTGGTGTTTCCCACTGCAGGGCCGGGGTCGGGATGGTCCCCACCTGCCACAACAGGCAGAGGGGCAGCGGCAGCCCTGAGGTGGGGGCTCTGCACTGTGGGTCCTGTCCCCTGGAGCCCCCTGAGCCCCCTGCCCAGGGCCACAGCGCCGACATCGCGTTTCTGAGCTCGCTTCCCTGTGTTTCATCCCTGCCTGCTCACTGCATCCTGCTGCTACCCCTGGGCCTGCAGCAGCCCCCAAAGCCCCTCCATGCCCCAGAGCTACAGGGGTCCCCGCACCAAGCAGGGCAGAGGAAGACAATGGCAGCTGACCCAAACACCGCCCACCTCAGGCCATTACTGCTGTGCCCCTCGGTGCACAGAGCACCCCTCATGATCCTGCCTGGGAAGGTGACCCCACCCAGCCCAACAATGACACCCGGAGCACCAGAAACCCCATTCCCCCCTCCTCACCTGCATCCAGGGTGTCCTGCCTGGCATTCCCCAGCCAGGCCATGGCAGGGCAGGTGCTCACACAGTGCCGAGGCTGTGTGCTCAGGGCTCCTGCATCTGCTCGGGGGCACGAGGGAGAGCAGGGCAGGTACCGGGGCAGGTACTGCAGAGAGGCAGCACCTGCTGCTGCAGCTGCTGTGGCGTGGGCGCCCTTGGCAGCTCTGAATGGTCCTTGACGCAGCCAGCAGCTCGGAACAGCACGGTCCTTCCCCTGCCACCCACAGCACACGGACACACACGTAAGCGTGCGTGGGGCTCACACACAGGACTGGACAGTGGGATGTGCCCCGCATCTGTGGCAGGGAGCCCCCTGCCCAGGGGGTGCTGCTGGTGCCCCCCAGGTCTGGCACTGCTGCTGCCACGGCCAGGTATCAGAGCACACAAGGGCTCCTTGCACTGAGGGGCAGCATTTGGGGGGCTCAGAGACCCAGAGGTCCCTCCTCCCAGCCCTGCCACTGCCAGCTGCTCCTGCAGACTGTGGTCACCCCCATGGCAGTGTCCCCAGGGCTGGAGCACGTGCCCAGGTCCCTTCAGCCCTGGCTGGAGAGCGGGACTGCCGCCGAAGAGGGCAGAGCAGGGGGTTGCTTTGCATCTCAAAGGCTTGTCTCCCGTTCTGTCACGCCCTTCCTCGGACCCAGCAGAGGATATTAACCTCATTAGAGAGCCCTTTCACACTCCATGGGGTTCATTAACCCCCCGCCCTTCACCCCAGAGCCCAGAGCTGGGAGGACACTCCCCTGACACATTAGCACATGGCTGCCAGGTCCCAACACCCTCCTGCTAATGAGAACCCCAGACTTCAGGGAGCCACCAAGGGGGCTGGGGGCATAGGGTGCCCATCACCAGCTCCTGGCAGGGTCTCCAGCCCGTGGGCTCAGGCCCATCACCACACCGAGCTGGACTCCCAAATCTTCCCATCTCACTCTGCCTTGGGAGCTCCCACAGGCCCAGAACTGCCAGGGGAAGGCTGGATCTGGAGGCTGCTGGGGCTCCTCAGCCCTTCCTGGCCGGGGGTCAGGCCCAGGGCAGGGGGAGCATCTCTCTTGATACTCCCCCAGGTTGCTCTCCCAGCTGGTGCCTGGCTGCCCCTGCAGCCCAGCGAGGAGAGCCCAGGCACGCCAAACCCCATTCCGTGCCCAGCTCCTGGGAACAGCCACACGGACACTCAGAGAGGGCACAAGGGTTTATTCACATCCAGCACGGCTCCAGGCTCCCAGGGGCAGCTGGTTCCTGCAGCTGTCCCAAGGGCCAGCGTGTCCCCAAGCTGCAGGGCTCCAGACGGGCATCGGGGGTGCTCCAGGCCCGGGGACTCACCCGGGTCAGTGCCGGGGCTGTGCTGGGAGCAGAGCCTCCAGCAGGGAGAGCAGGTCCGCAGAGAGATCCTGGGGAGCAGACAGGGAGAGGGTGAGCGGCCACACAGAGCTGCGGGCAGGGCTGGGGTCGTGGCAGTGACAGCCCACCCACTGGAAGGGCTCCTGGGCAGGGCCAAGCAGGACAAGGGACTCCATTCTGTCCCCACTAATGGGATCCCCACAAACATGAGGGAGGGAAGCACCAGGAAGGATGGGGCAGGCAGGGGGATCCAGCTCAGCCGCTGCACCGAGCAGGGCTCGCCTCTCCATTCCCAACCCCAGACAAGGCTGTTGCTACCCCAAAACCAGTTCCTGCACTGCCCCACACCAAGAGGACTCTGAGGCCACCCCAGGGGGGGTTGATCCCTGCCCCACACCTTCCCCATGCTGAGAGTCACCCAAACCCCACCAGCACGTACCTGGGTGACTGTCCCTGTGCCCACGAACTCTGACAGCATCAGTCCCGTGTCCAGGACATCACCAGGGAGATCCGGGGGGGCCCCAGCCCCTGCAGAGTGGGGAGGGGTCAGCCAGGGTGACGCAGGGGAGGTGACAGCCTTGTTCAGCTCTGAGGAGGTCCCCACTGCAGCCATGTAGGGGGGTGGCCCCCAGGTCTCCGTCTGGATGTTGGGAACCCCAAGAACATCTGGAGGGGTCCCGGTCGCAGGGATGTAGGAGGGAGACCCCCAGGTCTCCATTCCGATGTTGGGACCCCCAAGTGCATCTGGGAGGGTCCCTGCAGCAGGGGTGTAAGGGGGTGACCCCCAGGTCTCTAACGCCAGCTCCGGACCCCCAAGCACCTGCGGGGCAGTGCCCGCAGCAGGGCTGCAGAGAGGCGACCCCCAGGCACCCGTCCCCATGCCGGGAGCCCCGTGCAGCTCGGGGGGCGTCCCCGGCACGGCAGGTGACCCCCAGCCCGCGGCGCCGGGCGGCGAAGCATCGCGGGGCTCCGTGTCCTGGCAGCACCCCAGGACCCGGGGACACAGGGGACAGTGTCGGGGGGCCGGCGCCCCCCGGCCGAGCCCCAGCAGGGCGGAGAGGTGGGCGATGTAGCGGGTGGCGAGGCGCAGCGTCTCGATCTTGGTGAGGGTCTGCCCGGCGGGCGCCAGCGCGGGCGGCAGGTAGTGCCGCAGCCGCAGCAGGGCCTGCGCCAGCCGCCGCATCCGCAGCTTCTCCCGCTCGCTGGCGCTCTGCCGCGGGACCCCCGCCGCCCCGCCGGCCCGCAGCCCCTTCCTGCCCCGGGGGCGGGGGGCGGCGTGCCCGCGGCAGGGCCCCCGAGCCGCGGCGGGGGACGCGAGGCCGCAGGAGTCGGGCGATGCGGCGGGGGAGCTGCTGCTGTAGCCCAGCGGGTCCGGGGCTCCGCGCTCAGCCCGGTGCGGCGGCGGGGCGGCGGCGGGCAGCGTGCGGCCGTGGGCCATGGCGGGGCCGGAGGCTGGCACCGGTGTGCCGCGGCTCCCAGCGCCCCGGCTTTATGCCGGCCCGGAGGTGTGAAGAGGCACCTTCGCGGCTGCAGCACTTCAAAGGCCGGGGGTCCCGGGGGGCGGGGGGCCCGGGCCGCGGCTGTGAACGCGGGGTGACGAATTTCACCCCAGAGGTGTGAAGCTGCTCGGTGCTGCCCCTGGCTCCCGAGCGGGGCGGGGGCCGGGGCCGGGACCCTCCCGGGAGCTGCAGCGGGGTCTCGGCAGCTCTGCTGGGGGAGCCCCAGCGGGGCTGCAGCGGGGCGCCCTGGGGGCGTTTTGGGGCTCGCATGGGGCTTCAGGGGGGTTTGCAGCGGGTCTGCGGTGGCGTGTCCCTGCATCTCCCCGTGCAGCGCAGGGAGCTGCCCCTGAGGCTTTGTGGGACACCCCCCGCCCGGTTTGGGGGTGCCGGCTGCCTGAGGGACCCCTCGGGCTGCCCGGTGCCGGCAGCGGCGGGGGAGCCCCCTCGGGCCGCGGGTGTGCAGGGCCGGGCCGGGCTGGGAGGAGCCCCCCCGCCGCGTTCCCAGGCCCCGCAGGTGTCGGGGCCGGCGGGTGTGAAGGTTTCCCTGGAAACGGCCCCGCCGAGGGACGGAAAATCCATCAGGGAGCAAGGGGACACGGGCACGGCGCGGCACGGGCCCCAGCGCTGGTGTGCACGGCCTGGTCTGGGGTACATCTGGGGGTACAGGGCCCCCGAACTGGGCGTGCACAGCCCGCTGGTACTGCGGGGTGCAGGAACCCCCAAAGGGGGTGTGCGGAGCCCTGGGAACATGAGGGGCACAGGATCCCCCCAGAGCCGGGGGCACAGCTGAGGGGATACAGCCGGGTGACACAGGACCCCCAAACCGTGTGTGCACGTGTGAGCAGTGCCCTCACTGACCCATCGGAGCCACCAGGGCCAGCCCCGTTCCAACATCCAGCCCAGTCTGGGGGCGCAGCGGGGTCCGAGGGGAGACCTGCACCCCACGGCCCGGCCAGGCACGGCCCCCTCCCCGCTGCCGGCCCCCTCCTGGGCCGCATTAGCTGATGAGCTCCCGGGTAATGAGTTCTGCACCCGCCGCAGCCGCTTCCCACCTCCCTGTTTGGACAAGTGCTGGAGCGCGGCTGGGCCGGGGCAGCGCCGGCCGTGGGGTCAGAGCCCCCGCAGGGTTGGGAAAATCTTTAATTCTGACAAAGAGTGTTTAAGTCTTGTGAATTCCTTTAGCTTCAGCCAGAAGCGCTTAGTCCTGTATTAATGTGTGCAAGTGGTTATCTTAGCCTTAAAGACTGAGGGCCTGACCAACACTGGTAAGATGATGTATCCAGACCACAGAGCTGGCATGTATTCAAAGAGAAGAAAATTTTTTGGTTTTGGCCTATGACCAAAACCAGATAATTTGAGGAATAGGGTGTTCCCCAAATGAGCACCAGAGACCCTGATACATCCCTACTCTTATGAATAAGCTCCACAAAGTGACATAAACATGCAAAAGAATTTGCAGGACTGTTTAGCATACTTGTATGAGCTTTGGGAAATGTAATTAATAACTTACAAAGATTTAATCTAGTCTGTTAGCCAGCTGTGGTGTAGGTAGCAGGAGACATGCTCTGCACACCCAGCACTGAAATAAAGCAATGCCACTTTCTAACACTGAAATGCAGTGTTAGAGGGTTTGATTCCCAACTTTTGGTGACAGCAGGACACCCTGCAGCCCCTCACCCCGGGAGCAGGGTGGGCTCCCCCATCCCTGTCAGGGGAGTAGGGTGCAGGGCCATGGGGCAGCACGGCCAGGGCACCACAGAGCTCAGCCAGTGCCCAGCTCAGGCTGTGCCCCCGGGAGCCCCCGGGAGCCCCCAGCCCTCCTGCCCTGCTGGGATTCCTGGGACACCTCCCTGCCCACTGGGGACCCGCCATCCCAGATCAGACCCTGTGTGGTTTCTGGGGGTCACGCTTGTCCCTCTGTCCAGGACAGGCAGCGCTCACAGGGACACTGGGACACTGCCCGGGGCTGTGTCTGGTGCAGGGGTCAGCTCCTGGCAAAGAGCCCCCTCGGCCCCCGCTCTCCCTCAGCCCATCTGCACAGAGGGTCCCCTGTCCCCGGCACCCTCAAGACTTCGTCACCCAGCACGGTGCACCCCTGTGCCCTGGGGACCCCCGCCCGCAGCAGCACAGGGACCCCCAGACGGAGCAGGGGCACAGCCTGGTGGGTCCCCAGGTGGCTCAGCTTGTCTGGAGCCGTCCGGGGCTGCATCCCTTCGGACTGCGGGGCCAGGAGCAGCACGGCCAGTGCCGGGATGTCTCTGGGAAGGGAGCCCCCCGGCCGCCCACCCCCTGCCCCTTAGGGCCGTCAGCCTGAGCCAGAGCTCGCACAGCGCCCGGAGCCGGGGCTGGCAGCTGGGCAGAGGGCAGGGAGCTGCCCAGGGGACTCTGCCGGGTGCCAGGGCTGGCGGCTCGGGGTCCGGCATTGGAAGGTCAAGTCCCGGGCCGGGCTGCCGCGGGCAGGGCGGCCGTGCGGGGAGGTGCGGTGCGGGGTGATGCGGTACGGTGCTGCGGGGCTGGCGGCACGTTAGCATCTCTCACGGCCGTGTGAATGGGTCCCCACACACTTCCCAGCGCCGGCAGGACCAATTAAGGACCGAAGGAGTCAGATCTGACACCTCTGCAAATGGGCCCGGCATTCCCAGGCTCCTGCCGCCCGCCCGGAGCGGGGCGAGGCTGGGGGAGCTCCGGGATACCTCCAGGAGGGCGCAGAGGCATCGCCCCGCACCCCCGGCCCAAATAAAGCCGGGGTTACCCCCAGACGGGGCCCGCAGAACAGTGCCCAGCCAGGGCCAGACACAGCCCGCACCCCCGGCTCCTTCGGCAGAGTCCCCCTGCGTCCCCTCGGGGCAGGAAGGGGCTGCGGGGCCGCGGGGGAGCGGGGGTCCCGCAGAGAAACTGCGGCACTGCCTGTCCTCACCAGGAACGCGACCCTGCACCTCGCCACCCGCTACATCGCCCACCTTTCCGCCCTGCTGGGGCTCGGCCGAGGGGCGCCGGCCCCCCGACACTGTCCCCTGTGTCCCCGGGTCCTGGGGTGCTGCCAGGACACGGAGCCCCGCGATGCTTCGCCGCCCGGCGCCGCGGGCTGGGGGTCACCTGCCGTGCCGGGGACGCCCCCCGAGCTGCACGGGGCTCCCGGCATGGGGACGGGTGCCTGGGGGTCGCCTCTCTGCAGCCCTGCTGCGGGCACTGCCCCGCAGGTGCTTGGGGGTCCGGAGCTGGATATAGGGTCATCCCCTACACCCCTGCTGCAGGGATCCCCCCAGAGCTTCAGAGGATTCCCAGTGCCCTGGAGCCTCCCCACAGATGTGCCACAGCCACGGCTAATAGGGCACCTTCCTGCTGCTGCTGGGAGCCCCCCAGGGCAGGACTGATGGCCACAGGGCACCACAGGATCCCTGAACTTGGGTCCCAGCTGCCCACACATCACCAGGTACCCAAAGACCCTGCCCAGCCCCTGCAGTCCCTGGGGTGGGGTGGAGGATGGTCCTCATGGGGTGGGTGGCAGGGGGTGCAAGGTGGGGTGTCCCACAGCCACTCACTTCACACAGCTCGATCCACATGGCTCAGCAGCTCCTGGGCCCCAGCCAGCCTCATCTTCCCAGCTCCTGCTGCTGCCTCTCCTGCCCAGCTGCACCCCAGCAGCTGTGGGGCTGGAGCTGCCTTCACCCCTGGACACAGAGCCCACACAGGCACGGTGGCATGGCAGTGGGGCAGTGGGACAGTGGCATGGCCATGGGTCGGTGGCACAGCCATGACACAAAGCTGCACAGGATGGGACAGACACCGGGATCCTCACTAAAGCCACTCTGCAGAGCTGCTCCCCTATTCCTGACTGCGGGACCTGCTGGCTGCACCCCAGGTGCACCCTTCAGCCTGGCACCCCACACACACTGCCAGGTGCTGCCCCGGGCCAGCGGCTCGGTGCCCACTGCCAGCCCAACCCACGGCCCAGACGTGTCCCAGGGCTGAGGTGGCAGAGGGACTCACCACCGAGGCTGTCCCCAGCCCCACTGACCCCCAGCTCCCACCTGCCTGGGGTCCCCTCCCTTCCCTGAGCCCAAAGGCAGCTCCGGCCCCGCAGGGCGCAGGGTGGCCCCTGAGGGACAGTCCCTCCTACCTGTCACAGCCTGGCCCTGCCCGAGCCTGCAGCACCTGCCCAGGGCAGCGCAGGCAGAGGGGTCCCGGTGCCAGTCCCCCTGAGCAGGGCCCAGCAGGAGAGCTCACACGCAGCTGTCAGACAGAGGGGCTGGGGGCTGGCGTCAGCGAAGCCCCCAGAGCCACTTAGCACCAGGCTCCTAACAGCCGGGGGGCTCCCAGCCCCGGGCCCGCCCCGGGCCCGCAGGGGCCCTGGCGCTTCCCACCCAGTCTGCCGGAGCCCCCGCAGCACGGCCCGGCCCGCAGGGTGGCTCTGGAAACCAGGTATTTATTTACAGCCCAGAGCGCAGCAGCCCGACTCCCCCTGCCGAGCCCCCCGAGTCTGCAGTGCCCATCATGCAGGCGTCAGCCCCTCCGTGGCAGGGCGGGGGGATGCAGGGAGGGGGGCTGCCGAGGGTCCGTCCCGGTGGCCGGGGAAGCGCAGGCGCCCGTTATCCGCTCTTGCTCTCGCTCTCAAACCAGCTCAGCACCGCGGCCCGGTTCTCCTCCACCCACTTGATGTTAGCGCGGGTCTGCTCCAGCGCCTGCTCCAGCGCCCGCGTCCCCGACCCAAACCCGATGTCCTGGTTGTCCTTCTTGAACTGCTCCAGCTGCCAGGCAGAGACGGGGCTGGAGCAGGCAGGGCAGATCCCAGCAGCTCCCAGCACCACTGACACCCCCCCAGGAACACCCCTGGGAGCACTCCAGCCCCTGACAGCCCCTGGGAGCACTCCAGCACCACCCCAGCATCTCTCAGCTGCTGCCTGGCAGGACACCAACAGCGCCCAGGAGCACCCCAATAGCCTCTGTGAGCCCCCAGCACCACTCCAGCAGCCCTCAACACCACCCAACATTATCCTAACAGCCCCAACAGCACCCTGAGAGCCCCCAGCACCATCTCAGCAGCCTCCAGAAGCACCCCAACAGCCTCCAGCAGCCCATGCAGCACCCCAACAGCCCCCAGGAGCACTCTGACAGCCCTTGGGCATCCCTGCCATCACCCCAGCAGGCACCCAGCAGCCTGTGACAAGGACAGAAGCCTCTTGCACCCCTGGGCACACAAGGGGCAGGAAATGCCCTCTCAAGGGCTGCTGGCAAAGGGCAGCTCTGCCAAGACTGGGGTCCCTGGTCCCCTGGCTCCTGCCAGAGTCCAGCCTCACCTGTTGCAGCTCAAACTCTGAGGAGAAGCGCTGGGTCACAGCTAAAATCAGGCGGGAGAAGGAGAAGGAGCCGCCCCCGTACCTGGGAGAGCAGAAGTGTGCTGAGCCAAGGGGACAGGGGACAGGGGAAGGGACAGTGCCACCCTCCAGGGGCGCAGGCAGGCAGGGTGCCCCCGGACCCCGCGGTGCTCACTGGGTGAAGAGCGTCCTCCAGTTGCCACGGATGAAGTCCCAGGCCAGGGGCTGCCCCACGACGTTGCTGGCAATGCTGTTGATGGTGGAGGTGGCATCCTGCTTCCGGATCTTTGTAGGGTCGAGCGTGTACTGCAGGTACCTGGAGGGGCACGACGAGGGGGTGAGGGGCTGGCAGGGGCAGCGGGCGTGAGGAGGGTGATGGCTGGTGGGACACACCGCAGTGCCAGCCAGACCCCACACGCACCGGTTGAGGATCCAGGGGTGCGGGCTGCAGGAGAGGGCTGTGCGGAGCTTGTCAGCCTCAGACACCACGTGGGCCTCCTTGAACTTCTCCCAGAGGAAATCCCAGGCATCCTCCCCGCCCGTGGCCACCATGCTGCAGTAGATGGCTGAGCGCAGGTTCGGGGGGACCCTGTTGGGGTAAGAGCTGTCAGTGCCAGGAGCCCCTGGCCGTGCCCATCCCGAGCACACACAGCACCAGGGCTTCCGAGGACTCACGGGTTGGTGCTGCTATTCTGCCACCGGCGCAAGTAGTTGATGGCCAAATTCTGGCAAGCAGTGACACCGAAGGAGCAGGCGGTGCTGATGGCATTGGCCTCGTTGTACCTGGGGGAGAGAGGCCGTGAGGGCTGGGGTCCGGCACAGGGCACCCACCGGCCAGTGCCAGCTGGGGGCAGTCAGGGAGACCCCAGGGACCCAGCCCCAGGGCCACGGTACTCACTGGACCATCAGCGGGTAGTCACTGGGGATATTTTCCCAGTTATTGGTGATCTTCTGGTAGTACTCGAAGAGAGGGGTCACCTGCTTCTTCATGTATTTCTGGGGGCAAGAGGGAGTCAGTGCCCAGTGACACTGGCAGCAGCCCCCACACCACCGTGGGGGCAATCCTGGCCCCTCACACCCAGCACGGGGGGCTGGCACCACTCACCGACATGGCCCCAAAGACCTCGCTGCGGTCAAACATCTGCTGGAAGTACTTGAGGTTGGAGAGTGCTGCCTGCCAGGGCATGTATTCCGTCTCCTGGCTCAGGAACCGTGTCGTGTTCAGAGCCAAGGTCACATTGACGTACTTGGCCCTGTCAGGGGTGAGGGCAGCGTCACCTCTCGAGCCCCACTGGCACTGCCCACCCCAGGGCACCCACCCCACCCAGCCCCTCACCCCAGTGGCACCCAGACCACCAGGCAGGGCTCACCTGGCCAGGTTAAAGGCATCGTCAATGATCTGGGCACGGTTGATCACAGGGAAGACCTGAGAGAGCAAAGTCAGTGTCTCAGGGCAGCCTGAGCGGGGTGGTGTGAATGGAGTCCCCCACCACAGCCCTGAGCACCCCATGTACCATGTGGTTAGTGTCAAGCTGCTTGAGGAGCTGATCCCAGTTCTCCTGGTTGTAATTGACACGGAAGTACCCGGTGACATTGAGGTTCAGCAGGAGCCAGTTGGGGGTGTTGACCCTGAAGTCGGTGTAGGTGGCTGGGAAAGGGACAGGAGGCTCTGCCAGAGCTGCACCCCCCCCGCCAGGGAGGACCAGGCTCAGCCCCCACCACCACTGCCTCCCTGGGAGCCCCGACCAGTGCCATGGCAGTGGAAGTGACAGCGAGACCCCCACCCATGGCCAGGACATGCCATACCTGTGACTTCGGTCAGCCAGTAGGTGTTGCTCCCCTGGCCACTGCCTGTCATCCAGGTGATGGGGACAATCCAGGTGTAGCTGCGCCGTGGACAGACAGGTGTGGGACTGGCCTTCATCCCCTGACCCCTCAGTTCCCAGCCAGCCCCGCCACACTCACTTGAAAACAGAGGGTCTGTCCACAGAAGATGTGGAGTCCAGCAGAAAATGGGCCTGGCTGACGGTGCCACTGCGAGTGTCAACAGTGACCACAGGGAAGCCCATCTGCAGCGTCCAGCGGTCCATGATGTTGCTGATACTGTCAGGCAGTTTGACGCTGTTCTTGTCCACCGCCTGCGGGGATGGCAGTGCCACCGGTCACCAGGGCCAGGGGCACGGCCAGCGTGGGGCTTGGCCAGCGCTGCAACCCTCACCCAGCATGTGGGACCCCGCCACACCAGGCAGCCCCCAGAGCCAGGGCCGGGGATGCTGCAGGAGCACCAGCCCCCTCCTACCTGTTGCAGATGGACCCAGAGGTCAGCGTAGATGGTGTTGCTGTAGGAGAAGGTGTGGAGGTAGGACTGTGGGAGAGCACCAGGAGAGATGGGTGAGCAAGGACAAATCTGGGGTGTGGGACCCCCCTAGAGCAGCCGGGAAGGTCTCTACCATGGGATGCCCACCCTGCACTGGGCTCGCTGCCCCCAGTACCAGCAGCACCTCACCTGCAGCCCCTCCTTGAAGATGTCCTCACTGAGGAAGCTCGAGAGCATCCGCAGCACCGATGCTCCCTGCAGGGACAGCAGGTCAGAGAAGGCAGGGACACCCCAGAGTCCATCCCCACCCAGGGACGCCCGTGCACACCTTGCTGTAGGCAATGGTGTCGAAGACTTCACTGATCTGGGCTGGGGTGTTGATCTCGTCCTCGCGGAAGGAGAGCGGGTGGGAGCTGGCCAGGGCGTCTGTGGCCATCACGGCATGCAGCTCGTTCAGCACCATCAGGTCTTTCTGCAGAGGGGGCACCGGCACCCGCCTGAGCCCCGCGCGTACCGCCCGCCACCGGGGCAGCCCCGGGGTGCCCGTTCCCCTGCCTGCCCCCACGCCCCTCGTCCCTGGCACTCACAATGTTCCAGGTGGGCTCAGCAGAGTCGGCACCCAGGTACTCCACGTACGAGGCGAAGCCCTCGTTCAGCCACAGGTCGTTCCACCACCGCAGCGTCACCAAATTCCCAAACCACTGCAGAGGGCACGGCACTCCCTCAGCCGCCAGCCGTCAGTCGGGGCAGGGGGCGAGGGGCGCGGCAGGTACCTGGTGTGCCAGCTCGTGGGCGATGACGGTCACCACCCGCTCCTTGTTGCCGATGGACGAGTAGCTAGCATCAAAGAGCAGCGAGTTCTCCCGGTAGGTCACCAGCCCCCAGTTCTCCATCGCGCCCGCATTGAAATCGGGGAGGCCAACCTGGTCTGGGGGCGGAGGGCTCCGGTCAGTGCCCTGCTGACAGCACGCTGGACCATCTTGCCCCCTGCCTGGGCACCTCAACCCAGGGTCCCGGGCGCCCCGCAGCACCCACCAGACTTCGGGAGCGGGTAGGACGTGTTGTAATGCTTCTCAAAGAAGTTGAGGATGGGGCCAGTGACATTGAGTGCGTAGTCGCCCTGGCCCTCAGCGATGGCTTTGGGGCGGCCCCAGATGCGAATCTGGAGAGGAGGGATGCAGGACTCATCAGTGGCCCAGGCTCAGCCACCCAGGTGGGCAGGGGGTGCACCCCACCCCATCCTACCAGTGTCCCATTCGAGATTCTCTCCACTTTGCTGAACTGGCTGACAATGAAGGCCAGAAGGTACGTGGACATCCGGGGAGTGGTGTAAAACTCAGTGACATGCCAGATTTCTCCATCAATCTCCTGGTTCCTGGTGTCTGTGGAGATCACAGAATCACTCCACAGCCCTGCCAGACCCCCAGCCCCACAGTGGGGTCCCCCCGCCCCACTCACTTTTGGCAGGCATGTTGGAAATGGCCCCGTAGCCGGAGGGGTGGATCAGTGTCACTGTGAAGTTGGCTTTCATGGCCGGCTCGTCGAAGCAGGGGAAAGCTTTGCGTGCATCAGGCGCCTGCATCTGAGTGGTGGCCACCACCTGCCTGTGAGCCAGCCCCATCAGTCCTGGGGGTCCCTGTGGAGGCGCACCCCCCAGTCCCCTTTCTCCCATCGCCACTGGGGCAGCATGAGGATGCAAGTGGGGCACAGAGGCTCCACACACCCATCCCATGGTCCTGGTGGGAGAGGAGCCCCAAAGCCAGCCCATGCCCTCCACTGCCCTGTGCCAGCCCCGTGCCCCCATTCCCTTTCCCACCACCACACTGGGCCAGCCCTGTGGCTTCCACCGCGTCCCCTGCCTTCCACCTACTTGGTGCCCGACTCGTCCGTGTATTCGCTGCGATAGAAGCCAGCCAGGTCATCGGCCAGCTCCCCGGTGAAGCTGCTGGACAGCCGGTACCGCTGGCCCTGCTGCAGGGGAGCAGCCAGCTGCACCACCAGGTACTGGGTGGTATCCTCCAGCCAGGTGCTGGAGATGGCAGGGGCACTGCCACCATCCTCTGCCTGCAAGGTGGCATGGAAGGAGCCCTGCATGGTGTAGTTCAGTTTCTTGCTGTGGATGAGGATGAGGTTGGTGGCTTCCTCACACAAGAAGACCACGCTGCTGTTGCCCTTGAAGATGTACATGTTGTTGGCATCGGGCTTCAGGAAGGGCTGCAGGGACACCTCGTAGAACTCCGGCTTCAGCGAGGCCGGCAACCTCCACCGGTTCCAGGGGTTGTTGGGGGCAGGGGTGGTGCTGGTGGTGGTGTTGGGGCTGGCCGTGGTGCTGCTGCCCACATCTGATGTCCCCTTGTTCTTTTCCTGGGCGTACACCACCGAGAGTGCAATGATGGTGGCCACAGCCCCCAGGCCCAGCACGATGGCCACGATGCCCACGGTCTTGCTGATGAAGAAGCCACCTGCCATGGCGGGCAGCAGGAGCGGCACTGGCAGAGACGGCGCTGATGCAAGCACGGCTTTTAGCCTCTCGCTCCCACGAGGTTTATTAGCCCAAGTTAATGGGTGAAGGATTAAATGGGCATGGGGTTCAGGGCGGCGACAGACCCTGGGATGAGCTTTCCACCCGCCCGCCCCCCAGGCTGGCAGGAGCAGCAACGCCCGGCGCCGCTGCTGCAGGGGCAGAGCTGGCAGTGGGGGTGGCACCATCGGGGAGCGTGAGCGGGCTGTGCGCCTGACCCCGGCGTCCTGCCCCAGCGCTGGCCTGGCCCTGCACAGGGAGGGACAGAGCGGGTGGTCGCAGCCAGCAGCCACATCCCCACCATGCTGCGGGGCCCAGCGTGTGTCCCCATCAGCCAAGCTCAGATGCAGACTCAGTGGCACCCCATTCACCCTCGAGTGACACTGCCAGAGGGTCCAGGCCGCCCCGGCGTGCGGGGGGCACAGCTCACAGGCTGCCCCACCCAGGGAAAGCAGGGCAGCGTGGTGCAGCACAGGGGCCTGGCAGCGGTGGGGGAATGTGGGGAGGGACACTTGGGCAGGACTCCTCTGCCCACAGCCCTCTCAAAGTCCAGGGTCAGGTACCTGGAGGCATCGGGGTCAAACTCCGTCCTTGTGAGCCCAGCCCCAGTGGGCACAGGTGAGGTCCCCACCCAGGGTGGGGATGACACATCCTGTCACACACTGGGAAAAAATAGGAAGTCCTGTTCTCAGGATCTAATCAATCTCTCCATAGGGAGATATGGACAGTGTTGCCAGGAGCCATAGCTGGGGCAAAGGGCAAACCAGGATGAGTGAGTGGTGTCCTCAGGGAGTCCTTGCCCTGTCCCTGACAGCACCCAGCTGCACCTGCCGGGGCCGCTGTGCCTGGCACGAATCACTCTGGATGCTGCTGCTGTCCCTGGCACTCCCTGTTAGGCACAGCCATCCCCCAAGCCCAGAGGTGACTGCTGGCTCTCTCAATCCCATCCCCACCCTGGCTCTGGCCAAAGGCTTTGGGGACAGTGCCCCAGAGGCCCAAGGGCACACAGGTGGCTGGGAGGGAGCCAGGCACTGTGCACACCCACTGGCCCTCCCCACAGCCCCTCGGGCACAGCACGCAGGCATCCCCTACTGGCTTACCTGGGGAGGGGCTGGATGGAGCGAATGGGGAGCAGCAGACACAGCACCCACACCCCGACTTCCCCAGCCTGCAGGACTCTGTCCCCACTCCCAGAAGACCCTCTCTGGAGCCCAGCCAGCAGCACACACATCTCCCACAAGCAGCACAGATGTTGGGTGTCACCCCCCTGGGCACATGGGTCCCTTGGGGCTCTGGCCTCACACACCCCACAGCCTGACACCCCCCCAGAGCCCTCCACACCGCCATGCACCCCCGCAGACCCCCCAAGCTCCGCATTGCATACGAGCCCCATAACCCCCACGTATGTGAACCCCACTGCGAGCCCCACACCCCACAGCCCCCGGCAGCCCCTCTCCCTGCTGGTCCACCCCAGCGCACCCCGCGGAGCCCCCGCTCGGGCTGCGCACCCCCCGAGCCTCCGCAGCGGCAGCGCGCCCGCTCACCTTCCTTCGCTCCGCCGGGGCAGCGGGGTCTGCCCGCCCCGCTGCCGCTCCTGCGCCCCGCGGGTCGCCCTGCCCGTGCTGCTGCCCGTCTGTGCTCCTGTCCGCCCCGGCTGTCCGCCCCGGCTGCGCGCTCTCGGCTCCGAAGGGAGGAAAGCTTCCTCCGAAGCGCCAGGGCAGGAACCCGCAGCTCTCGCCCCCTTAACCTCGTGTCTGCCGGCCGGCGGGGCGGCACGGCCGGGGCAGCGAGGGGAGAACCTCCGGCAGGGGCTCGGCGCCCCGGAGCAGGGCGAGGAGGCAGTTTTAGGGGAAAAGCGGGGCGAGGAGGCAGTTTCAGGGGAAAGACTGCTGGGGAAGGGCCTGGCTTTGGGAACACGCTCCGGCGGGCAGGGCTGAGCCCAGCCAAACCCGGCACCCGCGGGTGCCACAGCGCAGTGCAGCCGGGGCAGGCTGTGGGCTGGAGCCAGGAGCCGTGCCCAGCACCCAGGGCCGGGGCCAGGAGCCGTGCCCAGCACCCAGGGCTGGGGCCAAGAGCCATGCCCAGCACCCAGGGCCGGGGCCAGGAGCCATGCCCGGCACCCAGGGCTGGGGCCAAGAGCCGTGCCCAGCACCCAGGGCCAGGGCCAGGAGCCGTGCCCAGCACCCAGGGCCGGGGCCAGGAGCCGTGCCCAGCACCCAGGGCTGCGGCCCAGAGCCGTGCCCAGCACCCAGGGCTGGGGCCAGGAGCCCTGCCCGGCACCCAGGGCTGGGGCCAGGAGCCGTGCCCAGCACCCAGGGCCGGGGCCAGAAGCCGTGCCCAGCACCCAGGGCTGGAGCCAGGAGCCGTGCCCAGCACCCAGGGCCGGGGCCAGGAGCCGTGCCCAGCAGCCAGGGCTGGAGCCAGGAGCCGTGCCCAGCAGCCAGCCCCATCTCCATGGGGGCGGCTCGGGGCGGCAGCCGCTGCCCCACAGCCCTTCACAGGCGCATGCCCCCGCTCGCTGTGGGCTCGGGGGCGGCCTGCTGAAGCAGCCAGCGGAGCAGCCCCTCTGGGCACAGCGCCGGGCACTCCGCACAGCCCTCAGCCACTGCCTCGGGGCTGCAGCTCCGCGGGCTGGGGGTTCCGCGGGCCGGGGGCTCGGCCCGGCTCATGCCAGCCTCAGCCCGGGCTTGGAGCAGAGGGGCCGCCCCGGCCCAGCGCGGCCACGGGCCTCAGGCTCAGGCCCCGCAGAGTCGCAGGCCGGGGCCTGGGCCGGGGCCGGGGCCGGGGCCAGAGCCGCCTCGGGCGCGGCGCAGGGAGCACGTGTGGCCGGCCCCGGCCCTGTCAGCGGCTGGGGATGCTGTGGCTGGGGCCGGACACGGGCGCTGCCCGCGGCAGCCCAGCCCCATGGCCCGGCCTGGCGCAGGGCAGCTCGCCATGAGGTGAGCCGGAGCGTTCCCCTCCGACTGTCCCAGCCCCAGGACATGGCACCGGCACGATGGCTCACCTGCACGCTTCGCCGGCAGCTACAAGAGGACGAGGAGGAAGAGGAGGAAGAGGAGAGCCAGTGGAGAAGAGGACACAGCAGGTAGCCCAGCTCCTTGACCTCCAGGAGCACTGGTGTGGCTAGTGGCCAGCTGGGGAAGGGTTAAGCTGCAGGGAGGGGAAATTCCTTCCAGGCAGAGTCACGGTTTCCCTGCCAGGGGAAGTGGAGGCAGAACCCGGAGCACAGCTGGGGAGCAGAGGAAGGGCCCCGGGCCAGCCCAGGGGCTGGTGGCCAGATGGAGCCGCAGCGGAGCCAGGGGCGTGGGGTACACGGCTGACAGAGCCCATCAGGGTCACTGTGACCCCCAGGACCAGCCCTGCTCCTCCCCGGCCTCAGAGAACCCCAGCCCCACAGGTCCCACACACCCACAGAGCTGTCAGAGCTCACAGTGGTCCCTGCAGAGGATGCTCTGCAGCAGGGAGAGGGCAGGAACTGGCAAGGGGTGACCTGCCACCAAAGGCCCAAAGCAGGGACACCATCACAGCCTAACAGGGCCATCACCCTCCCCACACCTGCTCCGAGAGCAGAGCGTGCAGCCAGGGACCCTGTCCTAAGCCCCCTGCCCTCCCCTGGGGCCCCCTTTCCCATCCCCTGGGCCTCCACCAGCCAAAAGCCCCCCAGGGCTGCAGCCGCGCCAGGAGCTGCACAGAGCCCCTGGCACCCTCCCCGTCCAGCAGCACCCACAGCAGACACAAACACGGGTTCAAGGACAGTTTATTGGGACACAGGGACACACTCCAGCAGCCCCAGCCTGGCCTGACCCTGCAAGCCCCCCCGGTCACTCAGCTCCCATCCCTCTTGCTGCCACATCCCCGCTCCAGCATGTCCCCAGGGCACACAGCAGTTCCCATGAGTGACCCCCACCCAGCTGGGGCCCATCTCAGAGAGCAGGACCAGGGCACGGGACAGCCATGGCTGGGAGGATGGAGGAGACAAGCTGCAGCTCCTGACAGAGCCGTCACTACAGGCACACTTTCACCTCTGGGAATCCCAAGAATCCCAGGAGAGGCAGGAGCCAACTCTTCCCCACAGCGAGGAGAGACTGCAGGGAGGGAAGGGAAGGAAGAGCAGCCTCCTTGTTGGGGGACCAGGGAGCAGAACTGAGCCCAGCTCCAGAGGAAGGGACCCCCCCCGGGAGGGACTCCCCCTCATTCTCTGAGCCCTGTCACTGCTCCCTGCCCTCGGCCACCATCAGCCCCTGTGTGCCACACGGGCAGAGCCCCGGGAGGAGCCGGGACCCCAGCTCTGCCTAGCAGGCAGCCCCCCAGCACGGGCTGCTCACATGAACTGTGACAGATTGGGCACTTTGATGTTGATGTCCCCGATGTTGATGTTGCGGGGGATCTCGGGCAGGTTGATGTTCTTCACGGCCGACACAGCACGGGAAGGAGCAGCTGAGAGGCCTCCCTGGGGACAGAGGGACCGTGAGCACCGGCCCCACCCCACAGCCCCTCCACAGCATCTTCATGATAAACCTTTAATGGCCTGGGGTCATTAACCTCGACAAAAGAACCACTTCCAGCAGCTCCCCGCACTCCTGACGAGCACCACTGGGCAGGGATGCCCCCAGCCCATGCCGAGGGCTCAGGGAGGCAGACACTGGGAGTACCCTGGGTATCCCCCCAGTCCCACCCCAGTCCCCATGGGTCACCCCCTCGCAGCCCAGGGTCTGTCAGCTCCGCAGCGTCACCGCTCACCTCTGCCTTCTCCAGCTTGCCCTGCGCCTCCACCTGCGCCACAATCTCGTTCATGTTGGTCTCCAGCACCATCCCGCCGATCACCATCTCCTGCAGGATGTGGTGGACCTGCCAGGGAGGGACGGAGGGAACAGAAGGCTGAGGGCCCGCTCCTGGGAGATGTCAGGGGCCAGCATCTCCCCAAGGGACACAGACCTCCCCCTGTCCCCTTCTGAGCTGCCTGGAGAGCAAAAGGGTGGCCAAGGGGAGCCCCACAGCTCCACTTACCACCTGTACCCCTCTGGAGATGACACACACCCACCGGGCCCATGGCAGCCCCTGTGGCACCCCTGACACATGGCCGGTCCCTCCCTGGCCAGGAGCCAGGGTACAGCAGGAGTGTGTCCTAGAGATGACCCCAGCAGGCAGCAGGGTCCTCACTGGGAGGACACTTCTCCCCAGAAGCTCCTTCTCCTCAGAGAGCCAGGCCGGAGCCTGGCCTCTGCTGTCTGTGAGGAAGGCTGGGACTGTGACACAGGCACAGAAAAAGCACAGAGCTGCCAAGGCAGTCTGCTCCTTTCCTGGCATCCCTCGAGTTCACGGATGAACAGCCAGGCAGGGCCAGTGCAATCACACAGCCAGAGCAGGGAAAGGAACATTGCTGAGTTGCAACCCCAGAAATTGCAACCAGCCCCGAGGCGGCAGCCAGGCTGTGCTGGTGGCTACAACCCCCTTCAGCTCCTGCACCTGGCTCAGCTCAGCATTGTCTGCAGAGTCAGCAGTTCCCAGTGAGCACCCAGCACAGATAATGGATTTATGGGACCCAGTTAGTTCCATGAAAGAGGCTACACAGGAGCACAGTTGGGTAACGAGATTGTTTTATGGTTTCACAGAGCCAGGCTGCACTAGTAAACACCTTGTGACTAACACCCTCAGGGCAATCCTGGGGAGAATAAAGAACACGAGAAAACGTGCTCTGAGGGGCAGTCCCAGCTCTGTGACCCAGCCCAGGGCTCCCGCAGGTCCTGTCACACTCCCACAGTGCCTGCAGCAGCCGCAGGTGTGTGGGACCAGCAGGGCACAGGGTGAGCCCCAGGCAGCTCCTGGGACCCCCATCCCACAGCCCAGTCCCAGTGCATGCTGAAGCAGCTGGAGCAAGTGGCTCCCGCAGCCTGAAAGGATATGGGACCATCAGGAAACGTTCCTTCAACATCTGGCTTCGGCCCAAGCTGGCTCCAAACCAACAGGGCAGAAATCTTGAGCAAGTTTTGTTTTCCAGGCCAAAGCGCAGCACTTCCTGAGGAATCTGTGTCCCCTCTGGGACCCCGCAGCTGCTGAGTGCAGCTCACACTCCCCTCCAAGGCGGAAAGCACAGCTGAGAGCTGGGCATAGCCCACCCTGAGCCCCGCTTGGGACAGGGCATCCCTGCAGCTCTGGGCTGAGGCTCCCAGCACCGACAGCTACAAGCACTGGTGTCACTGGTGCCTGACCCATGTCCCCCTCCATCGGCACATGGCAGGAGCAGGACCCCAGGCCTGCCACAGCTCCGGTCCCATGGCCCTGTGCTACAGGCAGTGCAAGGTGGAACCTCAGGCAAAAAGAAAAATTACAGGATGCAGCCAAAGTTGCATCTGAACCCTGCCACCCCCTGCCCAGGGAGATATTCACAGCCCTGTCTGGGGACACACTCATGGCCCTGCCTGGGCATCCCAGGGGGACAGCCCGGGCCCAGCAGGACACAGCAGCACATTCCCAGCCCCCCAAACACTGTCCCTCTGCAACCCAACTCCGGGAAGCACAGGAACATGAGCACATCTGAGAAATAAACATGTGCCAAATATAGAAAGAGACCGGAGGACCAAGTGATAATGGCCAGGAGTTGAGTCAAAGCTGGGAAGCAGCAGGAGCATTGGATGGGAAGGGCTGGCAGAGCCTGGGTGGCCGAGCTGGGGTCTCCACTACCAGAAACCCCCAATTCCCATCTCCTGAGAATGTTCTTCTGGCAGGAGAGGTCAGAGGAAGGGTGGCCCCACTGCTGCTGGCAAAGGTGTGAGGTGCCCTGCCCGCGGGCTGCGGGCTGGCCGTGGGCTCAGTGTTTTACATGCAAAGCTCATGTAAAGCTGAGAGCAAGGCTGAGTGAAAAGCTGCTGGGTCCTGCCCCTCCCACAGTCAGTACCCACGAGCATATCCTCCCCCAGCTGTGGGCAGAGGTGACCTGGGCAGCTGCCAACACTTCTCCCACAGCTGCTCGGCCCTCCTTCCTCCTTTGATAAACACTTTTGCTGACAAGAAAATTATGTTGTGGCATTTTGGAAAGTTTGCAGTAGGGCAAACGGTGAAACCAAAGCCTGACCTCAGCAGCTGGTAACGCAGAGACTCCCCAGACCTGCTCACTCCCCCTCCCTGCCAGCTCCCCAGCTGGAATCACGAACAGAAAGGGAGCATTTTACACTTTTTTTTTTTCCCCCAGTGCTCTTTTTTGTTGATATGTTTTTGTCTACAGCAAAGCAAGAAAATCTTGATCAAGCCCAGCACCCTGAGCCAAGCCTCTCCCTGCTCCAAGCCTATTCCTGGCCACCTATTCCCAGCTATCTCCAGCCTTGTGACCCAGGGCATGACCAAGGAGGACGGTTCCCGCCCAGGATCTCCATCCGGCTCTAGAGGAAACATTACAGGCTGCGGCTCAAACCAAGTTTACCCAGCACTTTGAATTCCAAACACTCCCATTGTTCCTTCCCGTTTTTTCCCAGCAGCTGTAGTAAAATGTTAACTCCCAGGAGGTGCCACGGCCTGGAGCAGAGCAGAACGGCCCAGCGCCAGGCCAGAGTCTGCCCAGCTGCAGCAGTGCTGCCTGTGGGGCACAGATGTGTCACTTGGCAGCCCCGGGGCTGGGCACGGCTGCCCCAGGCTCAGAGCAGCCCAGTGCTGGGGTCTCTCCTTGGGAGGGCATGATGTGAGTGCCTTTCAAAGAACACAGCTGAGAGCTTCCCATACAGGACCTCAGTCCGCCCCAGAGTGACCCCTGCCATCCCCACACTCTCCTGGGTGCATTTCCCAAGAAATGCAGGCTCTGGAGCAGCCCCGAGCCCAGCACCCACCTTGTCCATGTGGAAGATGAGGTCCAGTTCACAGACATTCTCAAAGCACTTGTCCAGCGTCTCCACAAACACCTGGGCAGCAGACAGAGAGCAGGCAACATGGTCACACCAGCCCCGTGGAGCACTCCAGGCACGGGACAGAGTGGCTGGGAAGCTGGAGAAGGACCTAGGCATGCTGGG